GTGTAAAGCATTTTGTGTACTCCTCGGTCGACCGTCATGGGGACAAGTCCATCAATAATCCAACCAACATCCCTCATTTCCTCAGCAAGCACAACATCGAACACCATCTCATCAACTCTACCAAGTCAATAGATGCAATGTCATGGACGATTCTCAGGCCCGTGGCATTTATGGAAAATCTCGACGGTGGTTTCGTGGGCAAGTTGTTTGCCACCGCAATAAAGGCGAGGCTCTCACAGAAGCCTCTCCAGCTCATTGCCACAGAGGACATCGGTAAAGTTGCGGCAGAGGCCTTTCTTCGCCCGGAGGAATACAAAGGGAAAGCGATTTCGCTAGCCGGGGATGAAGTCAATTATCACCAATTGGCTGAAATATTTCGCGAAAAGACTGGAGCAGGAGTGCCCGTCACTTGGAATATCTTGGCGAGCTTGCTTCTAGCTTCCTCCAAGGAGATGGGTACCATGTTTTCATTCTTCGAAAAGGAGGGATATGCTGCGGATATCGAGGCGCTGAGGAGACAGTACCCAGAACTGAAAGATGTGAGGACATGGCTCGAAAGTAGCCCATATATGAAGTGAGTTTCAGTGTGTCGACTGGACCAATTACATCACAGGAGCATATATATGCATATATATATGTGCCAGGCTAGGATGCATTTACTTGCTGAAGCGAGTCGACTTGTCACTTGTGAGGCATCACCCGCATGACGGCCTAATTTCGAATCCTTCCAATGACGCATGTCCTTGGGCATTCTGATAAATCACCACTCTACCAGCTTCCAGATCTCAGAACATTAAATTGCATCTGAATTTGAATCTCAGATTAACTTTCCAATAAGCAGGGATACTGCCCTGATAACCAGGCTCTAATAAGCGAGATCGCGAAACGTTACCACTACTTTCGTGTCATTGCCGGATATGATTGATGTTTAAGATCTCCAAACAGCATGATGGTCGCCAGGAAAACCAGCAAGAAGAAGCTATGCTCACCTACCATCTTCATTACACCAAGGCAAGCCAAGATCATAAACGCACATATCAATCCTTCAACACCAAGGTAGTTCAATTCCCGTTCAATTCCCCTGAACATGTACACACCAATGTCTAGCGAAAGTCCCAAAATAAGCGCCATCACTCCATTTACCTCCTACATCAAAACACTCGTCAGTGTCTTCCAAGGCCTTCCTTCCCCCTTTCAGTCATCCACACATCCAGCAAGCCTCGCCCGCCTCCCGGTCATGACATTCCTCCGCCGCCCCCAAGAACACAGCCTCTTACGGCATCCTCCAATCCATCAGAGTCATTCTCCGGGCGTCGCCCCCAACCTCATCCCACGTCATGCTTCCCAGCAAAAAACTTTTGACGATGGGACGCTCTCCTTGCATCAAGAGTAAGCATCGCAGGTCATGAAACTAGGACAAGTTTCCCTATGGGGATTCACGGGGTGGGGGATTCATCTGGTTTTTGGCACAGGGAGCTGGATGTCGAAGTTGTATGTCGACACAGGGGCTCTGGGAGATTGCGTTTCTGGACTAATACGATAGATATATATTCCAAGGCTTGATTTGGGGGCAGTACGTCGACCCAGAATAGGTGTATTGATTGCGAAATCATACCTAACAACGGCGGTACATTTACTTGAAGGAGAACTACAGCTATACGGCTAATGTCAATTCTACATATCTATAATCGAGAAAGGATTGTAAGTCCATTCGAGGTCTGGGCGTTGTGTATCCCGTCAATCATGCTCAACCCAAGCCCAAGTCTACTGTCCATGGATAATTTATGCAGAAAGCTATGTCTCAGGGCCTTCATCAGAAGTACATTTATATGAGCCGAAGCAACAGTCATTAAGAAAGAATACATTTGTACAGTGTAGCTAAATGTATATTCTGCTACCGATGCATGATTCGTAGTTGCTCAGAATGCTCTCGTCATACTCCTATCCAGAAATGGTCAACCATCTATACCATAAAAACGATACCGAAACATTCAAAGTGGTTGTGCGATCAAACGTCGTAATAATGCTCCTAGATCCCGATGCCCCTGCTGATTCTGCAGCTAATCATGCCAATGCAACACGCTCAAAAAGCACAAAAAAAGAGAACGCCAAGATAATAATCCTTCCATCGTGTACATGTATCCTAAGCCACCACCTTGCCACTCCCCTCAATAAGAATACTACCTTAATACAGACGCCTAAACTAGAACCCCAGTGAGAAAACCGTCATTGGAGAATTGATTAGTAGAAACAAGCAGCGTGTTATTCCAAATCCCATGAGCACTTTTTGGTGAGGGATATGAGCAGGGCCCCATGTAGCGGTCGGCTTTTCGTCGTCCGCGTTCTCCGGAAGTGTCCAGATACTCTTGGTTGTCTAAGACCTCGGCGGAATTTATGGGGTAGTCAGAGTAGCGGTGGAGCGGTGAGGACGACTGATGAGTTCTCCAGCGTCAGTGCGGCCTCGCAATTCGGCGAATCGAGTGGAGGTCGTTCAAGCGTCGTGCCTTGGATATGCAAACTAGTAGTGGTCGCATGTGTTGTTATACTAGTCGGCTTCTCAAGCCTCATCATTCGTTATTTTCTTTCATTATTCCGCTTTCTTTCGGCCAAAGGGACATATCCAAGAGACTGATTGGCCGATTCATTCTGGTGCATCAACACCCTTGCCGCCACGCCCATCGAAAGAGTCGTCGGTGAAAATCGCTAAACGGGCAGGCAAAATGTCTCAGTTGACTATTGGCCTGTTGCCATCATGGGCTTACGCGCGTATACAACGTAGCTGCTAACCGTTAGCAAATCTCTCTTTGAGCCTAAATTAAATGCGCGCATTAGAAAAACTTGATCAGCATGCGTGGACTTACTATGGCCAGTAGGCGTGGACGCCCAAATCACGCAGCTCCTTTCGTAGCATGGCAGAAATCACCAGAATCTCCTCTTCTGACCAGCCCAGGCTCTTTTGGAATAGCCGCATCGTCAAGCCCTCCAGGTGATTCATCAAGTTGTGTTGCTCCCAGGCTCCAATGAGTTTCAGGCGCTTATCCTTGGCCCAAGGGGTGCAAGGCATCTTATACACCTCCTCTGTCACACATTCGAATCCTCGTTCCTCAAACCACTGTTTAAACCGGGTCGGATCATCCACTGGAGTACCGAATCTTTCGCATGCCGTCTTGGTCAGATTTGCCCAAGACCGAAATGTGCTATCTTCGGGCAGAGTGCCATCGTCGCATTGTAGTAATCCAGTGTGACACTGGAATTCGATCCACCCGCCAGGTTTTAGATGTCTGTAACTATTGTTAGCCCTTGGAAAGGGGAGAGTTTTGCGACAATAATATGATTCCGGGTGAATGTGCCGTACCTGTATGCTTGGTCGATTAGTTTCGGAAAGTTTCGCACAGATAGGATGAGATCTCGAGAAAAGATGAAGTCGGCACTGTCAGCCTTCCACGTCCACGTCTGTTCGATATCGTCAAGTTCGAACTGGCAATTTGGCGGTACCCTTCATGAATTCATCAGCGCTGTCATGCTAGGTGTGACTCTCTTTCGAACATACCATTGCGGCTGTGTAGGGGCTATATCAACACCAACAACCTGGAAAAAGAGATGTCAGTTTCAACATTCCACATCAATCGTTAACTATTCAGCTCAGGAGAGAGTCGTACCTGTGCCCCTGGATATTCATCGGCGACCTCGACACACCATATTCCTTGAGAGACACTATCAGCAAGCGGCCATGGGGTAAATAGGGTTGTAGCCGAATTACCTGTACCGCATCCCAGATCCAGAATCCTCTGTGGGTTTTCGTTAATCGGTGACAGAAAACGTCGCTGTTTCAGGAGGGAGAAATATTTCTGGTGACACAGATCCATGCGGTCAAGTTCCTGGTCGTCCATGGGGAGTCCATACTCTGTGCAAACAGGGTCGCATTAGTACAATACTCTCGCAGCCAGCGAATGGTAATTGAAGAGACGCTGGTAGAAGAAGGAAGAAGAAGAATATTATTACCTTCTTTCCCATATGCAGCGTAGATGCGCTGGCCTTCGCCCACAACGCCATGAAGAATAGATGAGGTGACGGAAGTTAATGAGGATTGGAAGCTTCCGATGTCGTTACCCTGGTCAAGTTAGAAGGGAATCCCAGCATGTGCAAATGATAGTTGACAAGCCACTCACCTCGTCGAAGTCATCCGGCGGTGACACCGCAGACTATGCCAAGCGCGCGTGTTAGTAGTTGACTTGACCAGCCTATTATCGCCGACGTAGCGTTGGCAATAGACAGTCCAATCTCGTCGTACACACCTCATCGGGGGGAATCATTCCGGACGGCTCTGTCATAACAACTAGTGAAGGCCGTCTATCGTCCATGCCAAAGCACCAATCTCGAGGCCAAGAGGCGACCCTCCGGCGAAGTGACTCTGCGCGCCAGTGGCTGGCGTCAGAGAGGTTTAAACGTCGACTTTGCAGAGATGAAGCCCGACTTTGCTCTGCTTGTTCCCCCTTTCTTGAAAAGTCCAGGTCCGGTGAGCTGCAGCGGCGAAGCGTCTCGGCCAACTTGGTCAACGTGTGGGAGGGAGGGCTGGTCGCCGGTTGCAGCAGTAGTTGTCAAGTTAGGCTGCACAGGGAAAGGCGACAAGCAGCTGGTGGGCAATAGTTTGGGCAATGGGGCATGCGAGGCGATGGAGGCGATGGAGTTTGTGAGAGCGTGGCGTCTTTTTTGGCTTTGGCTTTTTGGCTTTGGCTTTGGATTGGAATTTGGCTTATGTTGTTTTTCTCTGAGAGTTTTGTGTTTCCCTTGGAGTACCTTGTACTTCGTCCCCGGGCGGGATGCGGAAGAAAAGTGGCGGTCCGATATGTCCCCGGGACAGTAGAGTTTGACGCAGGAGTCGAAACGTCGTCTCAACAAGTCAGAGATGAAAAACACCGGTTATCTGTCTGAGGAAAAAGAAGATTCGAAATCTGACCCTGAAACGGAGCGGGCCGGCCTTGCTAGAAGAGGCTACAGGTGTTGAATGGCCCGGCCTCTCTCCTCTCAACCCATCCACGGGATGCTGGTGCGCAGCATAGACGAAAGAACAGCTGGAGACGGGGCTTGGCCGGGCAAGGATGGGGCTTGCTGTTGCTGAATACCACAGGTACTCGTATGTGCCAGGCGAGAGAAATCATGGACGGGGGGCGAGGGCAGCCAATTCCTCTTGTGGCCGCTGCAGAATATTACCCTGGTCAAGCCCACTTCAAGGGTCCCGAAGCGGATGTCAGGATGGCCGAGTCATGTGTTAAAACCGCTGTTTGCGCCCAGGAGACGGACGAGCCAACAAGTCTATCAAGCAAAGAGAGGTGCACAATAGGCTCTGTCGAACGATTTGAAGGGAGAGTACGGAGAAGGGAGGCGTTGCATATCCCAAGGGCACAAACAAAGGTGAGGATGAGGTACGAGTTGCGTGTTTAACATTAGGCACGCAGCAACTCGGAGCTTAGTACGGGCATATTCATCGTGCCAACAGCCATCCACGAGGACATGCACCTACTAATGCTCTGCTAATACAGGTACTAAGACATCGGTCCTGCGTCCATAATATGCGAGGGCTGTACCTGACCAGTACGAGTTCTCCGTTCGTTCATCGAGGTGGTATTGCCGCAGCATTGTGTCCATCACTGGCGGCGACAACACCCCAGCCTGCATACAGGCACATACAGCCTAGATGCATGTACGGGTTGCTCTTTTCGATGGTCAGCATGCGCACAAACATCCTACAGGCAGTTGCATTGTATCCGCAGCTGGAACAAGCTTCACCACCTTGCTGGGGATAGACAGCCGCTCGGGGGTTCCATGAAAGGAGATGCCAGTCATGACAGCCTCAAGACAGGACCAAGGTGGTCCAGGCTTCGGCTGTCGATGATTGACGCAGCTAATAATACGCACGGGGGCCGAGGGATATCAATGCCATGGGAATTCCAAGGTGGTTGAGGTGAGCCATTAAGAAGTGCCGAACACCACCCTAACCCACACAGGCACAGGCACACACTAAACAGCAACCACTACAGTGAACATCAAACATCCATTGACCGTTTGGCCCTATCCCGCACCTAGTAAATTGCTGCAGACTTCCATTGATCCATTGATGCATGCTCACTCACGGTAGGGCTAGCAGGCAGCATGAGGCCAATATGACTGGCTGGGTAAACGGGGACGGCACCCAGAAGAGCAACCAACAACCAACAGCGCCTTGTTATAGCGCTCTCCAACTGGCTGACAGGGGCCCGAGCCGCTATTTTCGCTCTCCCGCCCCGCCCCGGGGCTAAAAGGCTACTAGCGCCCAGCGGGGCTTACCAAGTGCTGCTCAACTTTGCGGACAATTTTAGCCACGAGAGCTCACGCGGCGGCCAACTCAACTCGAATCAACCTAAGCAATGGCAACCTCGCTACTACAAACTTGGTGCAGACTTCAAACAGAGGCGTCTCGGCAATTGGCTCCTCAGCCGCCGCCGGGGAAGCAGCCGCTGCATCATCGCTGAGACGATGCCGGTTCAATGACAAGCGTGGAAGCCATTCCCGACATGGGCCAATCCGGGGCAGTTCGCGGAATGGGCTCCGTATGGATTACGAGAACCGAGTCTATACGATGTTGGCAGATCATGGCAGATTCCACAAGAGCCACTCTCTAGCTTCCTTGGCCGTTAGTGCTTTGTCGTGCAACACGCAACTGGGGGCTTTTTGCTTCGGCTGAAGAAGACGTTGGTCGACCAAACATCGGAAGGGCCGAGTTCCAGATGCACAACCGCCCCCTCGTCTCGCCGCAATTCGGCTGCCTCGCACTCGTTTGGTGAGCCCGGAGAGACATGCTGGATAGGCCGGGTATTCAGGCCGAGAGCGGTGTACAAAAAACCAGCGCAGCTCAGGACGAGCTCGGGAGCATTACGATGTACTCGTACGGATTACGAGGTACGAATGTAGCAGTCTGCTGCGCATTCAGCAGGCATTGCGCATAATCGCCAGGCACTACCTAGTCAGGTTCCAGGGCAAGCCGTATCCAGTGATGGATATCAAAAACCTGGAGAGAACCTTTGGATCCAGCATTGCCCATGCCCTGATCGCCACGGCTCATTAGCCTTGCCTCTATCGTCCGCTGGGGCCGGCCGGGCGATGGGCAAATTGTGGGCATTTGCCCGCATCAATGGAACGTCTTGACTTTGCCTGGATCCTTTCTTTCATTGGAGAGATTACGCGGCAAATACCACGAGCATTACTTACTTGCACTGGCTGCATGACGAGAAGTACGATGAGAACTTATTCGCATCTACATACCATACCTGTCGTCGTTCATGCGAAGCGTCAGCGCCTTGGCATAGGTCACACTCTTTACTAACATGCTCGTACAGGTCATTACACGACGACACGCAACACGGACGCTGATGTGTATCACGGAATGCTTGGTGCTGAGTAACAACACCACCTGTACTCTTCAAGTTGGCCGATGTCTTACTCACCTACGGGTACGATATAAAAAGATACAGGGGATGTGAGAAGACGGCCCTACCCGCGTCTCACTCGGCAGTCTGACCCTGCTGTCATCTATCGATCCCGTCGAGGAAATGGCATCAATGCCTGCCCGCGCCCGCAATAAAACCTTGTGCGAAAATGGATTGTCTGGCCGCCAATAGTGTCCACTGCCAGTTGTCTGGTCCGTCGACGGCGCGACCGTTCCCACGTGGCCTTAAATTGCCGAGACTTGTCACAGTTATGCTGTGTGTGTGTCGTCGTTCTGCAAACTGAATACTCGAAGAAGCAGGTACCTGCTGCTCTCAAGCGATACTCCCACACCGCGCTCCGTATAATTCCATGTTGACACAGCTACTCGAATGGGTATCATACAAGTACTGCATGTATACACTCGGAGAGCATCATCCATCTACATGTGCTACGGCATAGCGCCGTCGCATCCGTCTCTCGATACCACCTAGCCAAAGGACGACCTAGCTGACGAATGCCTTTCGTGCCGACTCAGCATCTTTTTCATGCGTCTTGCATGTCTGGCTGCTAAGTGGCCTCGGCGTTCCCTACTGTTCCTCGAGCAGGGGGTCCAACCGACCAGGACAAGCCTACGATAAGGTAGGATCAGGCGCAACATTCACTCAATTCGGAGCCCTGGCACACCATCCCTCATGCGGTACTGCCCACATCCACTCCCCTGCGCTTGTATGTGTATGTGCAGCATCTACTGCCTGTAGGTGGTATGGAGTGCTCTTCAGGTACATGGTATTAATAAGTACTCCAGAACGAGTAATTTTACCAGAGAAACATCTATAGATACCAAGATTTCAAAGATCCAGAGTGCCAAGAAGTCTTGGTGCTGCCAACAATAATTCCAGCAATCACAGGTGTCTTTTTTCCGCTAGTTGTCCCATTTTGAAAACATCCACAATATATACCAATATACTTCGTATACCAACTACAATGCTGTTCTACGAGAAACAAAGAGGAATCACAAATGCATGAGACTCGCATTATCAAAACGGCCAGTCGTAATCAAAGATTCCATTGCGACGCTGGCTTGTTAAAAGTCTAAAGGCCGCTTTCTCAGCGCTCCCTGGCGCCCAGAAACCCTCAGATCTGTTTTAGATCTCATCACACGCACACATGCATACACACACACACAACTCACCTCAGCAAAGTGACAGCCCACTTCCATGTGATTTGATATTGACGGCCTGGAGTTCAAGGTCGCCCTCTTATGCTGAGACAAATTAAATCTTCCCACTTCGCATGACGTATCGCGGGGCCTTCTACATGTGCCTTGCTGTGATGAGGGCCCAAGAGCTGATGTGTCTATCCGACTGGGGTCGAATCTTGAGGGCCTTGACTTGCCAAGCTGGACACTTGCATGGCATCTGACTCAAGCTGGACATTTGCACGGGAATTATCAATCCCATGAGTTGTGAGAGAATCCTGCAAGGATAGGAGTGCGTGGAATCTTTCTTTTCTTTTTTCATCATTGCTGTTGTACATGCCATATTCGTACATTCTTTTTTTCCACCCCTCCAGCCCCATCTATGCGTGAAAAATCATGAGTTTTATATCTTCCCAGTCAACCAATCCCTCTCCTTGTTCCTTGCCGCGTTTCCGTAGCCCGTCACCGGCAAGTCACGCTTCTTCAGCTCCTCCTCAATCACCTTCCAGCGTCCCACAACAACCTCCTTATCGATAGGGCCAATCTTCCGCTCGTGTAGCTTGACGTTGGCCAGCTCATTGAAGGCGTTGCGCTTCTCGAGCATCTGGGCTAGTTTCAGCGGCTTGGGGTCTCTGGTCGCAAGGGTCAGGATGTGCTTGGCGGTGTTGGCGGCGGCGAGTTTGGCGTCTGGGATGAGGATTCCGGTGAGTTGATAGAGGCGCTTGCGGAGCTGCGTAACATATAATTAGTATGATTGCCATGTATAACCATGATTTTGAACTGCCTCTCAATGGGAATGACGTACCGCAAATCGTAGTGAGTCATCGAGCGCAATGTTCTTCCATGAAGAATCCCATGACTTGATAATCTCCTTTGCCTCTTCGACAGTCACAACTGTCGATGATTCGACCTCTTGAGATTCACTCGTCAAAGCCTCCACAATCGATGAAGCGTCTCCCTTCAAAGTAGCCTTTCCATCCTGCACCTCAACCTGCACGGCCAATGCCTTATCCAACTCGTCCCTAGATCCTCCCTCAGACCACTTCTTCGTAGCCCATTCTGAGAAGACTCCCGTCTGCTGCAGTGCCAGTGCCTCAACAACAGCTCGTCGCAGGTGAACCTCCAGGACTTCCCTCTCCACAACCTTGTCCGCGCTGCCGAATCCCTTGAAGACACTCTCGTCGCCCCAGTGTCCTGGCTGCTCCCACCACGTGTTCAATGCCCCGATCTCCTCTAGCCCTTCGGCATCCGTAGCGGGCACATACGACGGATCTACCGCCTGCACCTCCTTCTCCGCCGTCGCCTCGGTCCTCCTCGCGGGCAGAGTCAGCCTCGACTCTTCCAGGACCGCGGGCGTCTTATCCTGGCGCGGCCGGCTCTCCAGTGCCTCCTCGGGCAGATTCGACTGGGCTTCAGGCTCCATCCTCTGCGTATAGGGATCAGCCGGGCCGGGGGCCTCGCCCTTCCAGAGCTTCCCCCGGATCCATTCCGTGTTCTTGCTGTGCGCGGGGCCGGTCGTCGAGATGGCGCGGGCAGCGGCGAAAGAAGGTCTGGATGCGGCGCATTGTGACGGGATGGCCAATTGCAGAGACTGCAGTCTCCGCATCCTCGTTATTCGTGCCATTGGCGAAATGTGTGAAGGGGAAACGCCGTGGTTGAAATCTCCCCAGCGTCGTTCGATTAGAATTTTGATAGAGAGGTTCAAAGCGAATTGCAACTTTTCCTGATATGGGGCCACAAGTAACGGCAGCCGACAGACCAACCAGAGCGCACGATACTAAAGAAAGACCCACATTTCGCGGCCAGCCTCGCAGCGCATCTTGGCCTTATCTTTAAAGCTGTCTCGAAAGATGCCGTAATCCCAAGACAATTTACTCGCGACAACAGCGGCGCGACCTCTCCCAAACGCTCTCGGCGCCTCAGCCCGCAAGTGCGATTTGCTGCATCAAGCACCGCCATGGCGCGAATCCAGCTGCTGGTGCTTCTCCTCGCTGCGCTCATTGCGCTAGCCTCCGCCTCCTGTAAGCTCAGTTGAAGGCAAACTTGTGACAACCCGCGAAAACTGACAGGACCGATGAACCAGCAGCGCCCAGGTTCTGCAAATGTACATGCTTTAAGAACAGCACCATCATTCCCCTCGGCCCTCAGCACCAATCCGACCAGCGATCCCTCTACCAAGCGCCCTCCCCTCTTCAACAGCATGTCCACCGGTCGACAACGTCATCGTGCTCCGAGTGCACAAAGGCGTTTTGCCTGAGTCAGGGCATCAGTTTCTGCAAGGACGCCGAGGAGGACGACGTTGTCACCATGTGCTTCCAGCGCGATAGCAACAAGGACAAGATCATTGTCTGGGGCTTCATCTTTGGGACGACGGGACTGCTGGGCTGGGCTGCGTTCAAGAGAGTGCTCGAATGGAGGGAGGCGCGGAACTTTGGATTGGCGGGCGCGAATTACGCTGCTGTGGGTAGTAGTCGATAGCATACAAATTTTGAATACCAACGACATTTTTTACGATACAAACATTGAGGAGGATTTGATGATTAGGACTTTAGAAACGGCCATCTACGGGCACTAAGGAACTTGCCTTGTTGTATATCCATGGCAGGCAAGCAGGCTTTTGATGCACATTGAAGTTAGAAATCGATGCTCATATTCTAAAAAAAATAAGGTCGTCATAACCCGTATGGCTGAGGACGACGTGTGTTTTTGTATGTCCCTTCAATGCGCCAGTTTTAATCCTTCGACTTTTGAATGCGGCTCCTTGAAACTTTTAGCTGGCCAGGAGGAAGCCAGTTGCGACTCGCGCGCAAACTTGCGGGTTGTGGAATATCAAAATCAATCAACTCTCTCTCTCGGCTTTTTCCCTCTCATCTTACATATATAGACTCTCCTCGCCAATCCAACATTTAATCCTCCTCCAAGGTGCTCACCTTGGCCTCTGTGCTAGGAGTACCTGAGTTGATCTCACGACGAGCGCGGACAGCGGAGGCAAGGTCCTCAAGAACTGTGACTGTGTTCTCCCAGTTGATGCAAGCATCAGTAATGCTGACACCGCGCTTGAGGGCAGCGGGGCCCTCGGCGGGAACCTTCTGGTTGCCCTCATTGATATTGGACTCGATCATGACACCAACGATAGATCTCTCACCCTCCCGCAGCTGTTCAGCAATGGTCGCTGCAACCTTGGGCTGGTTGTTGTGGTTCTTCTGGGAGTTGCCTGTTCTCTTGTTAGTGACTCTGGTTTACTTGCCAGCTAGCTTGCACGAGACAAAGACTTACCGTGAGAGCAGTCAATCATGATGGCCAGCTTCTGGCCCTTCTCAGTCAGCATCTTCTTGGCTGCCTGAACGCTCTCCTTGTCGAAGTTGGGGCCCTTGCTTCCGCCTCTCAGGATGACGAAACCGTGTTCGTTGCCCTTGGTGCGAGTAATGGCAGCAAGGCCCTGTTTTGTGACACCCATGAAGTGGTGCTTGGCGGCAGCAGCGCCAATGGCATCAATGGCGACGCCAAGGCTACCGTCTGTTCCGTTCTTGAATCCCACGGGGAAGGAAAGGCCAGAGGCAAGCTCACGGTGAAGCTGGGATTCAGTTGTTCTCGCACCAATAGCACCGACAGAGATGCAGTCTGCAAGGAACTGGGGAGAGATTGTGTCGAGCATCTCAGTGGCAATGGGCATGCCGTTGGAGGTCAGGTCAACAAAGAGCTTACGGGAAACGCGCAAGCCCTTGTTGATCTGGAAGGATGAGTCGATATCGGGGTCGTTGATCAGGCCTTTCCAGCCGACGGTTGTGCGAGGCTTCTCCAGGTAGGCGCGCATCACGATGCAGAGATCGTCGGAGAGCTTGTCGGAAAGCTGCTTAAGACGGCCAGCGTACTCGTGGGCAGCTTCAGGATCGTGGATGGAGCAAGGTCCGACGACGACTAGTAGTCTGTCATTCTGGCCCATGACAATCTTGGCAGCTTCTCTCCGGCCCTTGACGACGGTCTCGAGAGCACTGGGAGTCATGGGGATCTCGGAGATGAGCAGAGCCGGGGGGATCAAAGGATCCTGGCCCAGGACTATGGATTGTCGTTAGTGTACCATTTGTTCAGGCGCAATCACCTGGTGTATAGAGTAGAGCAGTGCAGGTGGGCGAGTATCTCGCAATGGCGCAAATGGCCATCGGCGAGAACATCGGAATTGCATGTGTCAACCAGCTCAGAGTACCGGTTGCGACACAGCTAGCTGAAGCTCGCGCAGAAGATGGCTCTTGGATCTTTATACTTACTTCTGGTATCATCGGCAATAACTGCTGCGTCAACGCCAGGCATCTTGTCTGTAATATTGTGTGGTGTTTTGAGGGAGGAGAAGAGAAGAAAAAAAGAGGAATGGAATTAGTATGATGGTGGGGTGTTTTGCGATGGCGGGGTCAAGCCAAACAAATCGCAGAGGCGCAAAGATGTCGATTGGGGTATCACGATTGCGAAGCAAAGAGATCAAATTCCAGATGATTTGGTTAAAGAATATGTATTCCCGCAAGAAGAAACAGGGCTTCGAGATATAAATGCCGACGGTCCCAATGAGTCAGATCACCCTTGTATCTCGGAGAGCACCAGATGCCGGCAAAATTTCTTGGACCGGCCGTGCTTCGGAGGTGTGGATGCGCCGTGCAGACCTGCCAAAGCAGTCTCCAAAAAATTTTGAAAAAAAGGCCACAGTTACGTCGGTTTAGCCCCAAGAGTGGTCAATTGGAGGCTTGCAATTGGCCACGGCGCGCTGTGAGCAGTTCTGCGAGTAAGGTTTTCAGTTTGGCAGCTCCACAAGTCAAAATAAATCGGCCAAGCCACAGCGACTTTCATCAGGAGCATCATCGGAGCATGTAAGATTCATGTTCTTTTTGTGGTTATACTAAGAACCAAGGTACACTAAAACTACAGCTCCATGCTTGCTCTTCACACAAGTTTCCTCAATGCGTAATTGTTGCCGGCCAAGCAGTACAAGCTGACACCTTCCGCTCTAGGACGACCATCTTTTTACCATTGTTGATACCATCTCGTTCATGGTGGTGAACCGCGCTTATTCTTTGTGGAATACGGGCTTCTCCGCAGCGTCCAGCGCATGAACTAGACTTGTGTAGTCAAGGGACAATGCATGGCTGGTTGGCATGAGGTGTTCCTTGCACCGAGATTGCCTTGGTACCTCGTACGAGTAATAAGCACCTGTAGTAATCGCGGATGTTAGCTTCTTTTGTTGTCCTGGATGTAAATCTGCTTGTAGGCTTGATGAGTACATCACATTGTATTCGAGGCAATCACTTTTTGACGTTGATATTTCACGGAAAATTCGTAGACAGCTGCGATAGAGTCAGCCACAGCTTTTTTGCTTTTTGCGCATACCTCTTGAAGCATTCCGTACCTAGTACTCTGCAGTATTGTCATCTCATAGCTGCACGTGGAGTATTCCCAAGAGTTACAGCTAGGCCCTGATAGGCAAAACATCTCTTACCCTGTACAAAACAGGCTATTCACAGGCGCATACCAGCAGCACCTTTGTAGATGCATTGGAGGGTGAAAAGGTTCACTTTGAGTCAATGCTCGGGTAGTTCTGTGGAATTGAGTCTCGTCGTTTTACCGATTCTCTCAACTTTCTAGAAGTTGGTCCCGGACATGCTGTCTTTTTGGGGCAAAACAACATTGTCCTTCGAGATCACCATACTCGATCTACCAAACAAAAAGTGCTAATCACCACCTTTGCTTACTTGAATTATACTTCTATCCAGACATTTCCATAGAATTTCATCATTGAAAACATCATTTGCCTTTGATTCGATGGTTCAAGCGAAAAACTATAGCCAAGGACGTTGTCTCTATCCTTATATACTTCTTTAGGAACACATATGACATCTACTCCTCTGTGGCGCAATTGGCTAGCGCGTCTGACTGTTAATCAGGAGGTTGGAAGTTCGAGCCTTCCCGGAGGAGCATTCGTTAATATGGTGAAAAACCTAATGGGCGAAAGCCCCCTTTTTTGCAAATTCTCTCGAATTTTCTTTTTGTGTTCTAGCACTGAGAGTTGGCCCAAGGGCATTGGGTAGAGCTGCTTCATTATGACCTAAGAATACTACCTACCAGGTATCTCATCACGTACTCGTAGTATCTACGATAAGATACCACTTAGAATACACGGGACGAAACGAAATGGGCTTTTGGTGTTGTCCCGGGCATGGTAGCTCATGCAGCTACACCGCTTCTATCACAGCGCATGGGTAGCGTAGCAATACCCCATTAGTTTGGCAGTGCTTGTGCATTTCGTTCTCGACTTACCTGTAAAGACCCCTTTGCGAGGCAGAATCATCCATAGTAGAGTAGCGTGAACCAATGCAGCATGGTTCTCATTGTCCATCTGACGTAAACGTGGTATGGTAACTACACAATGGCTCTTCACTACTCTGTGTAGAGGAAAAGAGCAAACTTGAGGGTTGACGACTGTTCATGGCATCAATGTAATAAAGCAAAATAGGCGCCAAGAAAACCTTCACTCTCTCCATCAGCGCTGTGGCACTCCATCTGCGGTACGACTAACAAAGGACACTTGAAGCATCAGTAACACCGCCTTTGGGCTCGTGCTTTCAGCCCTTTGGTGGAGTGCTGACTGAGCGGCTGCGCGCATCGGAATGGGGTGCAGCAGTGGGGTTAGGCAGTCAATTACAGCGTCCGTCGGCAGTACTTGGGCCAGCACCGATGCCTGCCGATGGCTTTTGTACCGAGCAAAAGGGACTTCACCTCTTCTCTGCTCTTGAGATACAAAGAAGCCCCATTGCTTTGCAACTTGCACTGCGATACTTGAGCCCTTTGTGATGCCAATCCATCATCGGCTTGCGCCTCTACCCTTATTTCTATTCTCCTGTGCAGAAACGGCCTAGAGTTGCCGCCTCACCCAGCCCCTTGCGCACACCGAATGATACGAGTTCCTCCCCAGCCATCTCCCGGATCGCTGTTTGCTCGTCTCATATAATAGCAGCAGACCGACACCGCAAGGCGCGCAAATCTGATCTCTCCTCTCCTTTGGCGTCTCTTCCCCTCTGTATTTTGCTCAAGTTTGACGATCCAAAAATCTAGGGCTGTCCTCGATTGACGGCGGCTTACCTTGGCTTTTTTCCCTTGCGTTCCCCTCACCAACTCCAAGATCTTTGGCAGGGCTAGCTGGGAGCTGTCTTGCCTCAGCTGGGCCATTCAAAAGCATCTTGCTTCAGCCACAGCTGTTGAATCAGGCACTCGCCATTGCACAGCTCTGGACGGTTGTGCCACTCTACGATTACTAGGTGCTCTTTACTCCGGAAAGGACTAGAGGACCCTTCGTGCATCTTGTGGCAGGCAAGGCGGCGGCCACCCACCTATCAAGCCTGTCAATTTTGTATCTTATTCTGCCCCTATTGCACTGCCATTTACACCGCTGCCCAAACATTGTTTTCTTTGCATATTATACATTGTACCCCAGATCAAGCAAATTGCAATGTCTCATACACAACACTACATGGACGTGGTGTCGGAATCCAGCCGAAAGCGTGGCCGCGATGGCGACGGAGAGATGGAAAGCATCTCGATGGGCTTGGAAGAGCATCGTAGCGTGAGTCCAAAGAGAGATGCTCTTCGTCCTGGATCAAGTGTACTAACCATTGATGTAGAAACGAATCCAATGCCTTCCTCTCCGAACATCGCCAAAGTCGTCCCAGCAGTGGCACTCTTCACCCCTCAGCTCTGACTCTGATGGTCAGGTCTCACAGCCCAACTTTGCCTCTTGGCCACACCAATCTGCCGTAAACTCCCATCCTTACAGTGGCGGGGAACCAAACATGGTGATGAGCTCTGGTCGGATGCCCACGCCAATCCAGCCAAACTTTGCTGCACATGGGCGTGGCCAGCAGAACGAGTGGGCAGGTCCTGGTCCTGTTGTGACGACGCTTAATGGGGTCATTAACCTGGGCCATCATCCCGCTGGTTTCTCGGACGACCAGTCAGTACCTCGTATCATGTCGGGCCTGGAAGACTGGCAAGCTGTGCAAAATCACCGAAGGCTGCCTTCGCCGATTTCAGAAGTAGAAGACTGCGTACAAGATCAAGACGTCGGTGATGCTGGCATGATGATTGATGACAACATGGGCGTAGTCATGGACGCGAGCGCAGGGTTACCACCTTCGCCAACCCGTGCGATGGACCACCCTAATAATATGATGGACATTGAGTCGCCGCCACATTCGCGTGCGGTTGACTTGGACGGCGACGTCCCTTCGCCCAGCCCTGGCCGGAGAGGCCATATGCGGAGCAAGCATACGATTGACAGTTGGACGTGGCAGCCTGGGATGAAGAAGAGTTTCAGCATTGGGTACCGAGCCGATTGTGAAAAGTGCAGGCTGAAAGTTCCTGGGCACTTTAATCACATCGTCATCTCATAGCAGGGGAAGACAAAACTGGCCGACCCCAAATCTGACCCGGATTTGTGGGATACTGCTGTCAGGCCTCTCGATTAGCATGAGAAGCGACGACGGCTGGCCAAGCTTTCCGACCACAGACGATACACGAAGCACTTAAAACCAAGATGTGCAGAGACGGCTGCCTTGCCGAAACGGAGGCTGGAGTCACCCGCTTCAAGTCTGAGACCGATGACCCTTCCACTGCGTGCAAAGATGGGAGGGGGTTTCTGGAAATACCAAAGACTGCTGGTTGATTGCGACATCCAGGGTCACATTATTTGATTTTTGCACCCATTACATTTCATCGGAGTTTGACGGAGGGATTGGGCTTGCGACGCATTCGTTATTGATATCACGCATAAACACACTTGCCTTGTCTTTTATACAGAAGAAAAGAGACTCCTTGTTCGGGTCAGCAACAACTTGCATAGCCTCAGAGAAGCGTTCGTTGAATAAGCGATCTGCTTCGTACATGCGGTCTATACTTACTATACTATACATATTGCTTTTTGGGGGGATTAACATGGGTACACAGCAGGCGAACTGCACTATATGAGAAGCGACTCATCATTATTCAAGACTTGACCGACTAATAATTAAAAGTACTTTTTTAACACCGGTGCTGTCTTCTTTTGGGCTGCATTTCCATTGCCATTTCCATTTTTAAATCCCCATACATCTCTTCGTTAGTCCTGCATGCCCAACAAATTCAGATGCATATGATATAGAAGTTGGGAGGTGTGTCCCCTTATAGTACATACAACAAATGACTCCCGACTCCATCTAATGCAAGCCCATCCACAAGTCGTATGATACACGGCTGCCGCCTCCCCAATACCCAAATAACATGATATATAATTTTCTTTTCTCTTTTTTTCTCTCTTGTCCTGTTTTACTGCTGCCCATTAACTCACCACCATCCCTTCTTCTTGGGCTCCGGCGCGGAGCTTCCAGTGTCCAGGGCAAGCTGATCCAAGGGGCCTCCATTCTGCTGGTTTTGCTTTTCCTTTTCCCACGCATCCTTTGCGGCGTCTCCTACTGACTGAGCAGCGCCGCTTGTGCTGCTCTCCGTGTTGCTGCTGCTGCCTCCCCAAAGGAAGCCCAGCAGACCCTTGCCCTTGCTCTCAGCAGCCTTGCCGGCGTCAAAGGCCGTCTTGACGTGCTCCTCGAAGTGTGTGCGGTGCTCGGGCGGGGATAGCAAGGGGGGCAGGCGGATGCCCTTCTCCTCGGCCTCTCGGTTGGCCTCCTCGACGAGGGCGATTTGCTCCTCGGTGGCGTCGCCCTTGAGGTAGGCCAGGCGAGCGGTGGAGAGCTCGTCGGCTTCGAACTTGCGTTGGGCTTCTATCCATTCGGCGCGGCGGGCGCGGTTGTAGCGCAGCATGTCCCAGACTGAGTATACGCTTACGACACCGGCGACGACTAGAGTTCACTTGTCAGTCTATGTTTTCCAATGGCGTCCGGGTTCTCTCCTTCTCTCTTCTTCTGCTTCTTCCACTTCTTATTTTCTGTATCGTATCGACGTACCTGTAAACATGACAAGGCCCCCCACCGTCCACCTGTGCGCCACATCAAAGAACCGCCTTGAGGCGTCAATGACTCTGTCCGCCTTGCTGACCTGTGCCTTTTGCGCCGCCAGATGCGCCTGCCTCAACCGCCGTACTCGCTGCTCGGGCGTCTCGCCGGGGATCCTGGAAGCCTTTGGTGCCGCAGAGGTGGCAGACTTTGACGTAGCGTGGGGTATGGTGGACGTGAACCTTGTAGCATCCTTGACGCTCCGAGGTCCTATTCTGGACGCCATTTTGGAAAAAAAGAATTTAGACGGATAAGAAGAAAACAATTGTCGAAGTTTAGGAAAGGCTGATTTTGAGTAAGGGCCGTACTGGGGAAGAACTGGCGGAGGAAAGCAATGGGCCAAGGGTGATTCGGAGGAGAGATTTTGCTGTACCCGGAAATGGATCGTTTTCGTGAGATTTTTTGTTAAAGGTGCAGCCGCAGAACGGCGAGAGGGTGGAATTCGGCGTGTGTGATTGGTGCGGGATTATTCCGGGGGTCGAGAAATGGGCTGTTTTCTTGGAGAAGAAAATTGATGGCAACAATCGGCACTAGCGATAGCTGCTGTGGTCGGGAATATTTCATTCTACGCGAGCATTGATTGAGCTGCTCTCTGACACGTTGATTGGGACGCTCTTGGTTTAATAGAGTCAGTTGTTTTGTTGGCGATTTACCAACTAATCCGAGGTTATTCACAGATGGACTTTCGCATCGCCGTCGTAGAGACAAGAACTTCATCGGTATAGTAGGCGATGGGTGCGTATGGTACTCCGTGCGTCCCCTCTATCTACCAAGGTAAAACACCTAGGCTATCAAAGTGCCTTGAAGGCACGTTCATCTCCTGGTCATTCGTACGTACACGAACATCTAACCGGACTTGCAAAAACACGTACGTCAAAATTTGGCTCATACCGCCGTCTACTATCACGCTCCCAAACTCTCGAGGGCCATCTTCTTCATGATACTGCATATAGCAGGCGTCACAATGAAAACGGAGTTGATTATATCAAAAATTGCGCCACCCATGGCCCCGAAGGACAATGGAGCAAGGAGCGACTCCGCGATGTGCAATGCAGGCCCTCCCAACTGAGCGCTGGAATTCTTGATCTCCAGACGCTCGTAACAAGGTAAGTATGAAGAAGGAAAGAAGAAAGGAGAGTGAAAGGGTGGCGACGCGGAAGTTGTTTTATAGCTCTAAGTTGATGCCTGGCGCGGAATGGGAGGTGTCAGGCATCGAGGCACTAACAATTTTCGAGCGGAGCACGTGATGCGCATTCTAATTTTTGGTGCGCGGCAGGGCATGTCCCCACGAGGTACGTATCGATTGTAGGGCACGAAAACCCTTTGACGAATTTGACGAGTCTCATCCTCCGAAATTTCAACGACTTCCGAACAACGACCACCGGAGCCCACGTTGATCGCAAGCAGACACAATGGTATGTAGAGATATTCCTAATGGAACACGTTGAATTGTTGGAATTCACAAGAGTGCTGACCTTTTTTCCCCATCCAGGCGATCAAGCACAACCAGACGATCATCAGCAACCGTGAGAACTCTCCCATCAAAACCTCGAGTCGACGATGCGAATTATCATGAACTGCGACTGACCCCTCCCACAGATTTCCGCAAGGATTGGCAGCGCCGGGTTCGCACCCACTTTGACCAGGTATGCGATCAACGACTCGAAAGAAAAAAAAAAATCGACATTTAGAGGAGGATTATTGACTTGTTCGAAATAGCCCGGTCGCAAGACACGGAGACGTACTGCTCGTCAGGCCAAGGCTGCTGCTCTCGCTCCTCGTCCCGTCGACAAGCTGCGACCTATCGTCCGATGCCCTACCGTTAAGTACAACCGACGGGTTCGTGCCGGTCGAGGTTTCACCCTCACCGAGCTCAAGGTACGACTTTACTGAACGAGTTTCTTCCTCGCGATCCTTGGGCCTCAGAAAAGAGAAGGCAAGGCAATCACAATTGCAGAGGCCTCTGGACACGAGGAACGAAATAAAGAAACTAAATTGATTGGATTGGTTCTAACAATTCATCTACAGGAGGCCGGTATCTCCAAGTCCCTGGCTCCCACCATCGGTATCTCCGTCGATTTCCGCCGACAGAACCTGAGCGAGGAGAGCCTTGCCGCCAACGTTGCCCGCCTCAAGGCCTACAAGGAGCGCCTCATCCTCCTGCCCCGCAAGTCCAACGCCCCCAAGAAGGGTGACACCAAGACCGACGTCGCCTCCCTCGACAAGGTCGCCTCCATCGCCGCTGCCCTGCCCATCGCCTCCGTCTCTGCTGGCTTCTCCGAGATCAAGAAGAGCGAGATCCCCGCCGCTGTCGAGGGTGGTGCCTACACCAAGCTTCGCATTGCCCGAAGCAACGCCAGATACCAGGGTGCCCGTGAGAAGCGTGCTCGGGACAAGGCTGAGGCCGAGACTGCCAAGAAATAAACTTTGTCAAAAAGGGAACTGGTGTTTTAAGGGTTTTTTGCTCTTTGCGTCTCTACGGGAGTGTTGCAAGGTCGGTTTCGAGGCTTTGATGAAAGTGCTAGGCCAGGTTACGGGAGGAAATATAAGCTCTTAGGTCCAGGTCAAAGAATTATTTGCATGATCAACCGGCCCTGCCCTGTATACACTAAAAAAAAAGGGTCAAATGGCAGCATATTAAACGAGCGCTGAGGCACACGTAGTTTCTGGTCGTGAAAAGTTGCTCTAATTTTTTTCTTGTTCAATTGGGTCCCTTGCCGCTACGTGCAACTATGAGTGATATGAAGTGATATATATGTATGGAAAGAACTTGAAACGATCAACCAAGTATATGATGCGTATATATCGCTGGGGGTAGTCCACTTTCCCTTTTTTGTTTATGCAGACAAGAGAAAAGAAGAGCAAAACTCGACAGCCTCTTTCTGCCAGCCACAACTCCATTGGCTTCCCAGCGTTTCAGGTTTACGATGCCATCGCCTTCTGCGCAGCCACAATCTCCGTGCCCTCCTTGACCAGATCTTGCAAGATGCTCAGCCTCAAACCAGGGAGTTGATCGCCCCACGTCCGGAGGAGTTCCGTGCACATCACCAGAGCGTTCTCCCGATCCACCCGAACCATGCTCTCCTTTTGCTTGGGATCAGCCTGCTGAGGCTCGAGTCCCAAGCCTTCTGCCATGGACGTGATCTGGCCATCGGGAGCAGCTAGCGCGTATGGCGCTTCCTCAATTTGATCGTTGCCTCCCACCTCGCTAAGGGGAGTCTCCCTTCCGGTGATGGCTTTGATGAGCTCCGTCATGGTGCCGTGGATTGAGAGCAGCTCCACGATGACGCGACCTCCCTCCTTGGAACGACACATGAGAGCAAAGACGAACCACGCTTCTGAGCGAAGACTTGGCCATTTCTGCTGGGTAATCAGGAACGAGAGAACCCTAGCGACGTCGTGCTTGCTGTAAAAGTATTCACGTCGTTGGTTTTCTTCAGGCTCGGACGATGCTGTGCCGTCTTTACTAATTGGGCGCTCCCAGTCTGGCAGTAAAGGCACGACTGGGCCCGAGTGAAGCATCCGGCATGTGGCAGCTACAGCTCGGGCAGCCTCGAGCCTCGTAGGCTCAGCATCAGAGCGCTCGTAAAGAGCAATGATGCCGCTCACACTTGAGCGCTCACGGGCTGGGCTAGCCGGGTCTGCGCTGAGAGGAGCACAGATGCGAGCAACGTTGGCTGGGCAGTTGATGAGAAGCAACCGAGTCAGAGACACGGCGGCAAACTGCACCTGGGGCGAGGTATCCAAACTGTATAGCCGCGGAACGCATGTGACGTCCAACAAGTCACCGAGAAGCGGCTTGTTCTGGAGCGGAATGGCCAGGTTCTTCAAGAAAGACAGGGCTGAATGGAGAAGCTGTGCGTCGGTAATGTCTTGGTTCGAGAGGAGCCTTATCAGGGGGCCATGTGCAAAGTAAACCTGAACAAGAGAGGTGGTGGCTTCATCTGAGCGGGACAGATTGCCCAGGGCGAGACAAGCCGCCGTCTGGAGCTGGACGTTCGAGCTCTGCAACCAAGCAAGGAAATTTTGGGCAACCGGGCTATGCAGCGGATAGCATGAGGCAAACAGGTCGTTACCGGTGATGTCTGCCAAGCTGACGAGAAGGCTGGAGTAGAGCTTCTTCAGGGACGCTTCCGTATCGGCGTCATCGACTTCAAGCGCATTAAAGTGAGTGTGAGCGTGGTAAAAGGTGGAGAGGAAGAGCTGCATCAAAGGTCCCTGGATCAGGTCGGCCTGGAACTTGTCATCGGCAAGGTAAGCGCCGGCCACGGAGACGAGAGATATGAAATCGTCAATGTCATCTCGAGACGGTAGGCTCGTCGCCAGTGTGAGCAGAATTTCCACTGTTCGGGGACTTGCACGAGCTGCTTCGCCTTCTTGGCTAACAAGCAGTGCGAGAATCTTGCAGAAATAGGGGACGAAGACGATGAAGTTGGCAAGGGTTGGAGAGGACAAGAGATCGATGAGTCGCTGGTTGAGGTTGGCTTGTGAAGCGGCAAGCTGTGCAGGTTCTTTGAAGTGGCAAGTTAGTGTCTTTACAGTCATTCATCAGACCTAAAGGCGTTATTGGGGCTCACCATAGTCGACTAGGATGTTGAACAAGACAGGAATTGTGAAGGGTATCAAGCTCTCATCTTGCAGGTGATTGATGACGGTAGCAAGGTGATTTCCCTGAATCACTCTCGCACGATTCTCGTCTGTATCTGCACAAGAGTTTCCCACCAGCCGCAGTATATGAATTTTCAAGCCCTGCTCCAGATTGCCGCCAGCGAGGACACGAAGGAAGAACTCTAAAATGCCAGAATCACCAAACGGGCCTCGCCATGCCACTATACGAATACAGATGTTGGGTCAGTCTACCGGTATAGCTCTGCTTCTACCTGGACATATCCAAGGACCAATTTCGCCAAACTTTGATCTATTGGCTGATTTTGATAGTGACTCACCATCTCTGCTGCCATCGCCCAGCTTCTCAGCCATGAGCTCCAGGTCTTCCTGCCCATGGGAGGTCCATACCTCACGACAAGCTGCTAGGAGTGGTATCAACAGCTCGGTCCTCCTCTGACGAGCGTCCACAGACTCTGTGGTTTCATCGTACTTGTCAGGAGAGACTTTGCTGCCTTCTCGCAGGAGCATCTCTTCAATCTCCTTTGGCGCCATGGCTGCTGTTGACTCCTTTCCTATTTTCACAAAAAACACGATATTATGATGTTTGTTCTAAAACTTCAAGAATATGGTAAGAGAACCCGCAATGAAGAGGCAAGGAGATGATTCGGAAATTAGGTGATATATGCTTTTCAAGATGAAGTCTCTTCACACGCAAACCCTGCGAGGTGATGACGACTCTGTGCTGTTAGGCCAAATTCAAGGTTCCTCAGCCTCAGCATGAAACAGACGGAAAGCCCTAGTCCAGCCAAAAAACGCGTATACGGCAGGCTTAGATTGGATTATGCAATTGCCGGAGAGTATTTTAGCTTCTTACTTTCTGGACGGGACAGACGACGGCAAATAGTATCAACGGATCCTGCCAATGGGCACGACGAACAAGGGCCCAGGCATGTCCAAGTAATTTATTAGTGAGATGGGCAATTGCGTGGCTCGTTCAGGGGGATCCTCTCGCTGTGGTGGGTGTGGCTGGAATTTACCGGGAACGAGGGGGCGGGGACTTGGGGCGATGAGTGAGCCTCACCACGGTGAGCGTCTTTGCGTCTGCTCGGTGAGCGGCAGATCGTCGGGTAAAAGAGGCAAGTTTATCCCGGATAAGTCGCAAACTCGGAATTGGGAAAATTCAAGAGACAACGACTCTCGCATTCTCGGCCGCGGGACGGTGCTTATACTTGCTTGTCTTTTCGTCAGCCGCATTCTACAGGATTACAAAATCTCTGTGAAGGGGTGTCTTTAATCTGCTTCGGTTAGCTGTACTGGCTTCATCATCACCATGGTATGTCTTGCACCAATTTTTTCTTTACTTGCCGAGGCCCCGGTATCACACGATATTGCGACACCAACATGTTGAATATCTGTGACAGCATGGCTGACTCTGAATCACCTTACAAATAGGCACACAAATTCGTCATCACAGCCTTCCTCACAGGCTCTCGCATCCTGGGACGGTCCTTCATGGCCGCCTACCGACAAGCCCAGGCCTCGTCGCAATATCAGCGTGCGCAAGCCAAGGCGACTGGCGTCAGCGCTTCAGGTCGAGCCTCTCTAACAGCCGGCATGACCCTTGAGGAGGCTTGCCGCATCCTGAACGTCAAACCCCCGGCCAATGGCCAGGCCAACGTCGAGGAGGTGCTCGAGCGGTACAAGAGACTATTTGACGCAAACAACCCTGAAAAGGGTGGTAGCTTCTATCTCCAGAGCAAGATTGTAAGAGCAAGGGAGCGATTCGAGGCTGAGATTGGACCCATACGAGAAAAAGCCGAAGCGGAGGCTGAAGCAAAGGAGGGGTGGAAGCCCAAAGTCTACAAGGATCAGTGAGCAGGGTTGAAGCGGACGACTTATACGACTATGGTATAATACGGTGCTGTGTGGGAGAAGAGCTTACGCGGCAGTTCGATGTTCTAACTTGGAAGAGATGAGCGAGCCGCGAAGCTCCCCTCCAAGGAGGGGTGGGACGACAACTCCATGTTCCACCTTTTGTATATGATTTCCTTTTTTTTTTTTCTATTATTACCACATCTTCACTCGACAGTGGCATGGCACGGCGTTTATGGAGGAGGGAGACATCTAGAGGCTTCGAGGCCACCGGAGACTGGGTCTAGACGAAAACAAAAAAAGCAAGGACGATTTGGAACTGACTTCAATACGCGGCTGTCAGCATGCTTGTACAATACGAAACGATGTAACATACCACCTGTGTAAAATTGAAATGATTAGATGAGCCCTCTACCTGTTTTACCCGTGTTGACGTGTACTCTATTTGACAGCTCATGTTTTCCTACGGACAAGTCCCTTCCAATAGTCGAAGCTATTCTCATCACTCTGAAGGCTCCATATCTTGCCGTTCCCCCTTCCTTCAAGATCCGTCTCCTCAACACGCAGCATCCCCCAGTCGCGAGTGATGCCCAAGACTCTGGCTTTGACACCACCCTCGGCCTCCAGCGTGATAGCCTGACCCGTGTGCAGCCAGTGGCGGTAGTACCGTGTCTCGAGGTCTTGAGAGAAGCCCTCGCGGCGGAACTGCTCGTATATGGCCTCCAGACGGGTGAGGATGCGGGCGAGAAGGGTCTCTATGTGGAAAGGCGCGATGTTTTGTGGAAGCAGGTCAGACAGAGAGGTTGTCGGACGGGGATTGGTAGCGTTGATACCGATGCCGAGGACAACTTGGTATGCGCCGTTGAAGTAGCTGCATTGGGAGAGGATGCCGCCGATTTTGACGTAGGACTGGGACGATGCTGGTTTTGTAGGATCGAGGGCATCTAATATATACATTAGCATGAAATGGATGTATAAGGCGTTTGTATAGAGAAGAGTGATGGTAGAATCATTTGACATCTCATGCACTGCGACTTACAGATATCATTGGGCCACTTCAACTTGACAGGCATCTTGTCATATCCTGAGTCATACGAGCGAATTGCTTCAACAATGGCAACAGCTGCAATATACTGGATGAATACTATCGGTCGTGAAGCAGCAAGATGAGCTGGGTGGTTGATAACGGTGGAGAATAAGAGAGATCCAGGGGGTGCGACCCAGACATTGCTTCCACGTCCTCGGCCAGCGACTTGGGTCGTAGCAGTGAAGGTAAAACCAGTTGGTAGCTTGCAGTTAAGCTTTGGGTTCCTATGTGTCCATGAGTCAGTAATTGTATTGAACAGCCATTTCAAGCGCAGTGTAGGACAAAACGCACTTTTCAAGCAGAGTATTGGTGCTGGTCACGACATCTCCGTAGAGCAACACGTCTCCCCATTGATCAGCGCTAGATTCAATCTTCCTGTACTTCTTCAGACTCGAGTAGAAACGTTCGTGGTCGAAGCGCGGTGTTAGTTCATCGCCAGGTAATTTTGTCTCATGAGAAATAATCTTCTTGATGACCGAGCTTGGGTCGTCCATCGCCTCGGCTTGTGGCAACGTGCTTGCAAGCTCATCCAGGTTCAGCCCATCTGCTTGATTTATGATCTGGAAAGTATCCGCCTCTCCGCGGATATACTCGTTGCCATTCTCCTTTTCGATAGCGTCCCCCCAGTCACACAGCAGCTCCGTCACCTTGCCGCTCTCGAGAGCAGTGAGGTGGAGGCTGGACAGCGAGGGGGGCGTATAATCATCCTGGACAACTTCGAGTCCCAATTCTGATAGCAGAGCCTTCAAAAAGCTGGTTCTGGAGTTGTCGTCCGCGACAAGTTTGTCGACCAGCTCGCTATATCCTGGAATGTCTGGTTGCGCGTTGAGATTGGCTGGGGCAAATCTTGGAATATGTTAGCTGAGGTTCTCGCTTCAATGAACGGTATAAACAACTTACTCCGGGTGAGGCCCGCTCAAGATTGCCTTGCCCTCTCCCACATGGCACAGAACGACTGCAGCCTTTTCATCACCACCGTCCACGTCCAAATCGTCCTTGTATGAGGCCAGAACCTCAATCTTGCGTCCTCCTGTTGGGGTTTCATCGACAAAAACACCGCCTCCATTATAATAGACGGCAAATTCGCCAGGTATCTTGTCTTTCAAAGATTGCTTTTCCGCTTTGATAGTAGCAGCTCGTGATCCCTTCTCGCTCTTGTATTCGAATCCCTTGAATGCCCCGCCACGACACGTTCCAGGGAAGAAACCGAGCTCTCTACTGCCAATCACTTCCAATGCCTTGTTACCAGCTTCAAATTCGCATCTGCTGCTGCCGTAATACCCGCCTGCGCAGAGACCTAGATATGCCCCTCCTCGGCGGACAAACTCGCTGATGCGGCGATTTCCCTCGCCATTAAAGACCCGACAGTAGCCAAGATCAGCACCGCCAGGGAACACAAGAAGAGCGCAAGTTTGGGCCCACGGCTCTTTTAAGAGAGCCGTCTCATTGATGGGGATGATGGCGTAGTTGGGGGATAGAAGCCGGCGGAGAGAGTACATGCAATGCCGCACAGATTCTGCCGTAGTTCCGGCGCCTATTGTTACAGTGAGCAAAAAATACTCGATATATTAGATAGAAGTCAATGGAGGGGGAGTATTGACCTGTATGGACCAGGATATTGAGTCGACTGGGCGCCATGATGCTTTGTTTTCTCCGGCCGAAGTAATAGGTCACGCCACCTGATAATCAATATTTGCTCTTTTCTTCTCTCTTACATCAACCGGCGCTGCAACAACACCGGGACCATTGACGACTCTTGACAAGCCGCAAAATCTTTCGATATGCCCGGACAAGAACAAGAAAAGCCGCCAGCTACGGGGTCTTCAGCCGCGGCAATTGAGGATGACGATGAGCCGGATGAGTGGTGAGTAGCGGGTTAAAGCTGGCTGTTTGGAGAGGCTCCGACGCTAAGCCGTGCTTTTGCGAACTCTAGGGACAAGCGGATATTCAGCACGGGCTGCGCGGGTGAGTTGCCAGTTGAAGTCAATTGATTTATTAATGCATTCCTCTGGTCTTTTGAGGAGATATAAAGAAGAAAGAACCGTTGAAGATGAGATCAGATAATTTTCACGGATTATTTGCAGAATATCTCTCTTCTAGGGTAACTGGAAGGCTGACTCAGACATTCGTGAACAGATGAAAATATGAAAATGACAGACTGCTACTACGAGAAGAAGGATTGGAGAGCATGTGCAAAAGAGGCAAGTATTTTGTTTTATAACAGAGCGAATAAAGCCTCTTTTACGTGTAAATTGGGCTTGAAGCAGTTGCTAATTATGCTGGTGTCTGTAGATGGAGGATTTCAAAGAATGCTGGAAGCAGCACGGTAATAATGAGCGAACCAGTACCAAGGATACATAAATGGCCGTGGTATTCAGGAACTTATTTTCAACTCGAAGAAAAATGTAATAACAGTATATAGACTATCTTAACTCATTAAAACTGTTTATTTATGACTTTTATGACAAAGGCATGCCAATTTGTATTGAATTCACCAGTGCGTCAAACAAACATTAAACAAAGAACACACACAGCGGTAGCCGGAACTTCTTTTGACCGGGCCATATCAGCGATAACACATGAAATCTTCAGATGCCGTGAATTCACAACCATTGCTCTGAAACTCAAACAACGAAAGATCCTAGACTGTCAATCCCTATCGGCCATGCTTCCCTCACGCAGAGCCTTTTCCGCTGCCTCCAGGCAACTCGCCTGCCGCTCCTTCAGACCGATCCAGCCATCAGCACGGCTCTATTCCACAGAGACATCAACTACGTCAACGACAGAAGAGCCCGCAGCTAAGCCCGCCTCTCCCCCAGCAGCAGCGACGCCGAAATACGCAAAGCCCGCGCCCAGAGCGACCAAGCCTGCAGTGGCAGCATCTACACCAGCATCTTACAGCGACGTTGTCTACCAAGCCAAGAACATTGCGTACGAGGACGCAAGGGAGGATGGCGATGTGACGGACCCGGCCGCCGTGGACTGGACGAGGAGTTTCTACGGCATCTCGGCCCGGCCAGTAACAGAAAAGCAATTCAAGGCCCTAATGCAGCCTGTGGACGAGAAGGACATCGAGGTCAAGCCCGACGGCGTCATCTACCTACCAGAGATCAAGTACAGGAGGAGGCTGAACGAGGTGTTTGGTCCAATGGGATGGGGCCTGATTCCCAAGGGAGAGGCCGTGGTTGGCGATTCAATCGTGACCCGCGAGTATGCGCTCATCGTCGATGGCCGGTAAGACACTACCAATCGCTGCGTGCGTCACTCCCAAGCCGTCTGCTAACGTTACTACAGCTTTGTCTCACAAGCCCAGGGCGAAAACTCGTACTTCTCCGCCGAACAGCTACCATCTGCCGTCGAAGGTTGCAAGTCAAACGCCCTGATGCGCTGCTGCAAAGACCTGGGCATCGCCTCCGAGCTGTGGGACCCCCACTTTGTCCGATGGTTCAAGAAGAATCACATGGAGGAAGTGTGGGTAGAGCACGTCACAACCAAGAAGAAGCGAGTGCAGTGGTATAGGAAGGGCGATGTGGATGTGTCATACCCCTACAAGGTCAGCAAATAGGGACCAAACACCGGATGGGGTGAGCTTCTTTAAGTCGCCGAGGGAGAATTTTACGAGGACTTGACGATCACCTAGGGAGTGCAAAATGTGCGAATTGCAATAAAAGAGACACCCCCGAAAACAACTACATTGATGACAACACGGGCGAGGAGTGGACTTGTATGATACTTGTGTTAGAGAAACAGGGTTTTTTGTTTGATGCCATGTAGCAAGGTTTCGATTAGACCTATGGGTTGGATGTACACAAAAAAGGCATCTATGGGGGCCGTTTTTTACTCCCCTCGATATATCATGATTCAATATCTCAAAGAGTGTCCAAGTCTCCATACAAATTCATGTATAGCATCCACGCGACATGGCGGTAACAGGTGGTCTACGCGTTCAGTCTATACTCGCGGGCCAGCCATTTGCGATGTTCTTGTTGTTCCTAGTCCTCTAGCCCAGAGCTGTGACCTGTACCTGGCTGCGTATTGCGACCCCAAGGCATCCACGAACCACCATCACCACCTCCAGCATGACGGCGCCGGAGGTTGGCCTCATCTTCAGCCCCGCTCTCGGCATCGATCTTCTCAAAGTCGGTCTCGCTGCGGCTCTTGCTCAGTCCACTCCATCCGCTGAGCCCGCTGGGCGGCCTCTGTGTGACCTCTTCGTCGCTATCCATGTGCCTGGAGCGAGATCGGGACTGCGTCTGTCCGCCATTTCGTTGAATCTGCGCCGCTTCACGATCCAGAGCTGTGAGGAGGACGTTGAGACGGTCCCGCTGGGAGGCGATAAAGGTCATCCTCTCGCCCGAGTCTTGTATGTGAGATGGGACGACTGATGATGACGATACGCCAGCAGCGTCGCTTCGTGCCCCCGAGCCACCGGTCGCCGCGGCTACGGCGCTGGCCAGCAGACCGAAGAGATCCGAGCCCACATTTGACGGGGCGGCAGGTCCGGTCGCCGTCGGAATGCTAAATCGAGCGAGGAGCGACTGCGTGTAGCTCTGGTAGGTGTTCGGAGGAGGAGTGGGAGGCTCGGGCTCACTCGGTGGCAGGCCTAGGACATTGACTCTCAAGTAGTCGATTGCCTTTCGGAAGTAATCGATACCGGCCGCCTTGAGACGCTCATGGGCGCTCGCGATGAACTCGTCGATTTGCGATTCATTGTCGCGGAGGAAGGGGTGGACGTATTGCTCGTATAGCACCCTAGCGCCCTGGGTTTGCGGCAGAATCAGGTATAGGAAGAAGAGAAGGCGGATGTAGCCATAGAACGGCACCCTTTAAGCCAAATGAATCAATATCACAGCATCACAAGCGGCGTGAGACGGACACGGAGGCGGCTGTAAAACGTACCACGCAAGGATGAAGTAAACCCACGACTCCACCAGCAGACAACAGCTAAAGACGACCCAGTACATGAGCCATGGCGTCAGCTGTGCAGGATCCGACGTCTTAAGGGCTTTGTAGGAAGCAAAGATGGGGAAGAGGAAGGATGCGATAGAGCTGTTTTGCTTGGGGCATTAGCGCTTCTTAGCAGTGACGGCATGGCGGGGCAGATAAAACACACGATAAGAGCATCGCAAAGAGGTCGAACATGGTGGCGGGAGGACGAGGCCCGACGCGGCCCGTTTGACGTCTAGAGCTGGATTGAATATAGGTATGTAGAATAAAAAAATAGAAAGCGGCGAGTAGTTTTAGGGTACCTTTATTCGCGATCACTGTCACCGAGGGTTTGTGGAAGTAGCAGGTTATACAAGAAATTGAGTTGCAGCCGGAGGTCGAGGTTGGGGGTAAAAGGGCTTAGTTAGGCTCAAGGCAGCTCCAGCCCAGCAGCCCTTTTTGTTTGCGACTGAGCACCAGAGACAGGCCTCTAATAGTGAGGCGATGGCAAATGCTGATAGCCTCTAAGTGGATTAGGCTCAGGTGGCAGAACAGCCTCTCAGCAGGGATCAGTAGCCTGTGGTGAGGCCGGGAAAGGGGAAAGGGCAGCAGGATGGCTGTCGTGTGAGCAGCAGGGCGAGCACCTGAGATGCTGAAACCGGAAGAAGCGTTGCGGTGCAGAGTCGCGCAACGGCAGAGAGGCTCCCCGCAATTGCGAATCCGGCCGGCGATGTGCTCGTGACTGAGCCTGAAGCGGCTGTAAGCGTGTCTTCTGGACTTGGGGATGACGCAGTGGTGTCTACCTGAGCGGTAGTGGTTTATTAGGGGCGAAGAGCCGGAGCCTAGGGGATTTGCAGCAGTACGACGTAATAGGTATTGTTCCCTAGCGATGATTCCGGGCCGTGGAGGTGATTTGAGGCGCTGAGGAATGACGAGAGAGTTGCGTGAAAGATGCTGTGCTTACCCATCAAAGGACGGATCGGAACATTCACATGTCATTTGAATGCATTTATACTAAGTATGCGGAGCAGCCCGATTGAATGATAGCGATCCACGGAAGGAGCACCGCAAGTCCTCATGCAGGGACGCAATAGGAGGCTGCTGGTGTCTGTATAGTCTAAATTTAGCACCTCAAAATCAACAATCGCATATCCTCTGTGGCGCAATTGGCTAGCGCGTCTGACTGTTAATCAGGAGGTTGGAAGTTCGAGCCTTCCCGGAGGAGACGCAACACCAAAATTATTTTTTGGAGATTTTAATTCTACTTTTTATTATCAATTATATATGGTCATTAATATATAATTCCGCAATGCCGAGTTGTGGATGTTGTGATTATCAAAATATCCTCTTTTTTGCTCTTTCCCCTTTTTTGCGAGATTATACAGTCATAGGCGCTATTTCGCTTGATTGTGTTGCAGTTGACACGCAGCTGGCACTTACTGCGAGGTTGATCACTTATATTATCAGAGATTGGAAAGCTTTACGTCAGGACTGACTAAAACATTGACAGAAATAATTGCTTGCTATTTAATTACGTAGGTACATATTCAATTGCCCTTTACGCTTTCGTTAAATATCAATTTCTTCTCCTCCACTAATCCTTTCACTTCTTCCAAATCATAACCTCTCCCGACACTCTCTGCAAAGGAGTCACTGACAGCAATCTGCTGCCCCCTCGGTCGTATGGAAATGCTTATCAACTCAGTTAACCTCTTTTACAGTAGCTGACGAGCCTGCTGCCACAAGCTCTGAACAAATTGGGATTGCAAAAGAGATGGCCCATATGTCCATGCTGCATATGCGCTGCCAAAGATGGCCAACCACGATGCTATGCCCCTGGCAACGAGGATCCTTTGAACAAATTGCATCGTCGCCGCGTCGTTGACCCAAGGAAATGGCTCGTCCTTTGGTGCGTCTTTGCCCAAGAATTCGCACAGCGGCCCCCAGCCGTCTTCGGCCGTCCAGACCAAAATCTTGCGGTTTCTCTTTTTGGCTTCCTCGAGCACATGCTTCTGGTATGCATCATAAAAGCCATCCAGATCTTTTGTGTGCCACCGCTCCGTTATTTGGTTTTTTGCTTCCTGGTGCATAAGCCAGTGAAGACGATCGTTTTTCACGGGCAGGCAGAGCAATAGATAGGTCCATGTGCGGAAAAAGGCTAGGCTACTGTCCCAGCTTTGCAGCCAGGACTTGTCGCCTCCTTTGCGTTGGTTTAGGACCAGCGGGGCGTCTGGATACATGTCCATGAGATCATCGAGGAACCAGAAGCCAGGAAAGTCTGTCGTGGCTTGGTAACCATCGAAAATCTTGTGTAGCAGAGCCTGTCTCTTTTTCTTATCCTTTTCTCGCATGGCTTTGAGGACAATCTCGGCGCGCGTATTGCTCGGCATTACGTGGGCCATGTGCATGCAGGGAAAGAATCCCAGATGGGGGGATTCGAAAGCAGCTTGAAGCGAGGAAGTCGCGCATCGAGGAAGACCAGCGCCGATGACTCGCATCTGAGGACCGAGAGCCTGCCGGTCTGGGCCCGTGGTATCGGAAAGGAAACGCATGTTGAGCACAAAAACAGACAGTCAGTTAGGCCGAATGGACAAGTACTCGAGAGGAGAGCTTGTGGTCGACGACACCATGACCTGGGATACCATCACTTATAGTATACGACTAGACTACGAGTACATATGCTAATATGATATCTTCACACCATCCCGTGGACAAGACTAGCAAGCTAGCTTTGCTTTGCTTTCACCATTCATAGTCCACAGCATGCCGCATTTCTAGGCTTACCATTGTCTTTTTTTAGTGACAGATACTGTTGGCCAATTTAGTTGCGCTCCGTCTCTCCAGCTTTGTTTCTGACTGGGGGCTTAATAGCCAAAGATATGTCTATTTGCAGTCAAGGCCTTGGCACGTTTCCACCAATAACTCGGCGCTTACCCAGTTATCACACAGGTACTAATTCGACGTTGGATAAGCTGGAAAATGTATGGCAATTTGAATCGTGATTAATCAATCTGAGGCCTTAAACAATAATCACTAATCAAACCAGTGCTCGTCTGGTCGACGAGCTGGAGGTTTAGCGGAAGTCGCTGACGCCCGACGGACCATCGCTCGAGCTAGCAGTAGCTTAGAACGTACGATGCCGAATCCCTTGTCACTCGCAAGGAAAAGAGGATCAAATCTCTGCTGTTAGGGCTTATGTGGGCGGGTGAATTGAGGCTCCCGAACCCCTCTCGTACTCTCCAAGGGGCCAACGTGAATGATTCATGTGCATTGTTCGGCTGCAGAAGCACCCCCTTGAACAACATTTGGGGCGGAGAGTATACATGGATGCCATCCGATTCTACGAACCGACCTGTAAAGGCTCATAGGACGGTGGGAACTAATCAATCCAACGAAATTCAGTCACCAATGAACGCAACGGAACGACTTTGCATATTACAACAACACGCGGCACTGCATAGCTACATGTAATGACAATATATCACGCTGTTTACATGTAAACAGATAGACTAAGGGCCGAATGTTTTGACTCTTACCAACATGCATATGTACTACAGGACTAATACTACTTTGGCATTCTCGCCGTCAGACTCCAGTTGGGCTAGAATCGATAGCTGCAAACCCTAGGATCCTTTGTCTAGCGCCTTGTCAGCTTCAAGGCCGATCTGGCCAAAGCTCCTTCGCGACATCTCTCACTAGCCGCAGCTTTGCAAACATCTTCTCTTCAGTCATTCCCTCAGCTCCAACAGATACACTGGCAAAGCCGCACTGCGGGCTAATGCCAATGTTCTCCATGACTTCCTCGACGCTGCGCTGTTGCCCGTCTGCAATGATCTTTGCGGCTTCTAGGACACGCCGCTTGATCTCCTGAGAATCCTCAAGTGCTGGATCTTTGGTCGTCACGACGCCAAGAACAACGTTCTTGTTCTTGGGAAGGAAGCGCAGAGGCTCGAAACCTCCGGATCTTGCGTTGTCGTACTCGAGGAAGAAGGTGTCGTAGTTGAGAATCTTGAAGAAGCGCTCGGCGATTTTCTCATACGACCCTTCACTGAAATGGACTGACTTTGAAAAGTTGCCTGTAGAAATTACGCGAGACAGGTCATTATTCTGAACCGCAAAGTGAAACAAATTGGAAAGTTGGCATCCCGACCCACGACTTACCTCGGCAGATATGCAGTCCAACATGGAGCCCTTCAGGACGATCCGCGATACAGTCGTTATGAGCCTTCAAATATAGGTCAAACAGCTCATCAGGATCCACGCCGTCGTTGCGCAGCGAGTCTCGCATCTCCTCCGAGCAGAAATATGCCATCGTGGGGTCGTCAATCTGGAGGTTACGCAGTCCTTCGTTATACAATGTCTTAATCTCCTTTTGATATGCCACTGCCAAATCCGCAAAGAAGTCCTCGTCTGAGGAATATGCATCGGCGCTATAACACTTTCCCGGAGCCAGTCTCAAATGGAAATAACAAGCTGGAGGCATCGTGAATTTGCATTCTCCCCACTGCTCCTGCGGAACAGTGTTGCGCAGCAGCAGCCAGTTTTCAAGATACGGGCTGCTGTCGTAGCTGATCTTGCCCTCGCAGATCGCAGCCATGGGATACTGCTGCCCCGATTTCTTGAGAGCCGCGATGGGCGGCGCGGAGAGGCGTGCTAGCTCCCATGGTACGGGGCTGACTTCGCGGAAACCGGTGAGCTTCTCGAAGAAGCCCGAGAAGTAGTACTTGCGATCGAACTCGCCTGAGGACAGCGCTCTTGTGCCATTGAGCTGCTGCTTTTTGACGGCTTCCTTGATGGCGGTTTGTTGGACTATGCGGAGCTCCTCCGCAGTGATTTCGCCTTGGTCGAACTGTTTCTGGTGGTCCGATATATACGCTGGCCGGATGAGGGAGCCGATGTGGTCGGCGTGAAAGGGGAGTCTCGCCATGTTCAAATGATCACGTCGTTGGTGATAGGGCTATCCTATGATGGTTTGTCGGAGAAGACCTCAAATGAAACTCAACTTCGATATATGCTAATATTTTGCAGCCTATTTATCTATCCATGACATCAATTGTGCGTGCGCTGCCAATTTCTTCAAACCACAAGATCGTCCTAGTTAGCAGCGCAAGATTCTCCAACTTGACTATCTTTCCCCGCAACTCCCGTCCTCAACTATCCCGCTTCATTTGCCGAGGGGGCGAACTAATGGCTCCGTCGATGTTCATCGAATCGTTGCAGCCGTCTCTGCATGAACATGTGTGATATATCCTCTAGGGTTGCAGAACCTGCGGGGGACCTCGCTCCAGTGTGGGCGACACGTAGCGTTACACCAGGGTTTGGACCCGAAATCGTCAAATAACGGCCCTTTTGACAGTTGAGTGTCAAGCGCATGCGATAGTCGAAACCACATCGTTGCAGGGATCATGACTTCATCGGCCGGGTAAAATGGTTGCTGTGGATGGGATGGGGTTGAGGGGCTATTTGCTATTTTTCCGCGGCACCAACTGACCCGATTCAGCGACATGCCACAACCCGTGTTGGACAGTGAGAGACAACTTTGTGATCCCGTGTCACTGGCTCGTATGGATCGCAGGACTCCATTTTATTGGTCTCGTCATGTCATTCCTAGACATCAGTGTCTTTGATTCCAGAAACAAAGTTCAATCTGCATTTCTTCTCCTTGTCAATGAGGATAGTCATGGGATCTATGAGCGATATGGATTTTGTTCGTGGATGATAGGGTAAGTGAGTATTTACTTTCTGGTGAAAAAGGTGACGGTGCTTTTGATTGTACGACTCTTAATGACTAGTTCATGAGTGATAATACTATTTTTTACGATATTTTAGTTTTATGGGATGTGTTGATAAGGCGAGCTTCTACACAAGCATATATCCTCTACAAAGTCCTTTACAATAATATCGGTATACTCTGAAGACAAAAGTATGTAGCCAAAACGTACGATTGATACCTTCTGCTACTTCCATAATACAAGCATGATGTTAGATAGAAATGGTTCTCTTTTGTGTGGTGTAAAGAGTCCACATCCATCCCCCAAGTCCAATAGGCCTAGTGTTCTATTCCCTTGCATCAAAATTAGAGACAAACCCCACGTCGACGCGTTTGTCTCACAACGCCACCGCGTTGAATCTTACTCTAGTATCTTCTCGCTGAAACCAATGTCTTCATGGCGATAGCTGAGCTGAGATTCCTCATTGTTTTCGAATCCACTGTGATATCGATTCTACGGTGCATGCCGTATCACATCGTCGGACTTCAATGTTTCTCTAGACAAGACACCTTACTCAGCTGGTTCAGCATTGTATTTTCTCGGCATGAACAAGGTGGCATTCCTTCTTATGGGAGACAAATCAAGAACTGAGCTACAGATTGCTTGGAACTCGTTCGGCTTGCCTCTGCATGTTGGGTTGAACGACAAGCCCTCTTCAGTTATGTGATATGCGGGTAACACCTCGGCTGAATGTTGGCCTGAATATTTATAGCTTTTTACGCATAGGAATTTGGATATCGGCGCCGCCATGGTCAGTCCCTCCTCTAGTTCACCAATGGCCAACATGTGGCATATGACTTACAGCTGAAGGTCTACGTATCTGGCTACGACGGACCCGTGGAATCTGAGATGGTTTCCGCACTAAGAAGAATTTGGCCTCGAGGAATTCCAAGAGGGCATATACACTAACCTCTTGCTTCTCTAGTAGTATCATGCCGTGAGACATCAAGAATGCTGGCACGCCCAGAGGTGGCAAAGGCTGCGCTCTTCACGATCAACGCGGATCGCAACCCGGATGATCATGCATATGCATTCTTCAACCTGGGCTGTGTTAGTGTTCTTGATGCGATGTCTAGAGTTATAAATAATGGTAGACGCTCCTCCTGGAAGCACGAATCCTTCATCGCAGCAAGTACTAACTCAGCAGCAGTACACTCAAATCTCCGATTTCCTTCCTTTAGAATCAGAGATTTTTAGTCACTCTTTTATTACAAGACATTCTTTTCTGCTCAATATGCGTTCGGCTTTGATGATCAGCCTGGGCGCCCAGCTCGCCTTGGGTTACTTCACAAACTCCTCGGAACCTCTGGAAAATAAACTCGATGTTCACCCGCTGCTTATTGGTGACTTCAGGCTCTTTGGGTGTGTGGCATCCACGGCTGGCTTTCCCAACTTCAAGAAGGTTGCTTCTACGAATCTCATGAACCTGGATTTCTGTGCAGCTAGCTGCCCAGGCAAGTTCTTTGGCACTTTCAACAGGTGAGTGTCTTATGGAAATATTGTGTTCTTGCCCACATGTTGATTATGAGTTATAGGGATTGTTACTGTGGGGATGAGCTTGATTTTGAAACTGCAGGCAAGATTGCCGAGGATCTGTGCAATACTCCTTGTCCGGGAGATAAGCACCAGACCTGCGGTGGTCTCGCCGCTGCTGCCCGCCTAGCTCTGGAGAAACAGGAACCTCGGTCTGTTGTCTTGAGCTTATACGTCAGAATTCATGGTGAGGAGCACCATGATGACCACGAGTATCAACACGACGACCATGAATATCACCACAACCAGACTGAGTACCATCACGATGATCATGAATATCACAACGACGGCCATCAGTGGAACAATACTTATGGAACTAAGCCCGCTCGCCCTTACCACACCTTCACAAGCACCATCACGAGCACCAAGACCAGCACCATCACATCTTGCCCGTCTTGGGTCCAGCACTGCCCCGTCGGCCACAAGACTACTGAAGTTATTACCGTAACCACTGAGCTCTGCCCCAAGCCCGAATGGCACAAGAAGAAGATTGTCTGCTACGGCGGCCACTGTGCCCCCGAGGAACCCTGCCGTGAAGAGCACTGCGAGCACCACCGCGTCATCTGCAACGGGGATGACTGCTATCCCGAGGTCTGCACCGACAAGGATGAGTGGCATAAGCTAGTCATCTGCGATGGCAAGGATTGCCGCTACCACCAGTGTTCCGGTGAGGAGTGCAACTCCAAGATCGTCTGCTACGACGGCAAGTGCGCCAAGGAGACATGCTACGGCGAGGAATGCCACAAGAAGTTCGTCTGCAAGGATCTCGAATGTGGCCACGAGCACTGCAACGGGGATGATTGCCACAAGTATGAAGTCTGCAATGGATCCGGCGCGGACTGCCAACCTTGCCCCCCTTGCAACGGCGCAGGCTGCCCTGTTCCTCCTCCTCCTGCGCCCAGACCTCAGCCTCCTGCTCCCACTCATGACCATCCTAGCCCGCCTAACCCTCCTGTTCACCCTACCACTGCTCATGGATGGCCTCACCCGACCCAGCCCCCTGTTGTTGCCGGCTCGACAAAGCTGGGCGCTACAGTTTTGACTGCCTTGCTGAGCTTCATCTTCTTCCTGTAAGTGGGCTATTATGTTACGAGATAGCTAGAATTTCGATTCCTTTCGCAAGGAGGAAGGGGGTGAAATGGTGAGGGACTAGATTCAGGGGATATTTAGATGATATACGGGAGCTATATTGTTGAGTTACTCTAGATGGACAATAGTGTAGTGTTAGACATCGAAGCTTCTATACTCTTCCAATGACATTCATTTCATTCAAATTTCTCATTCTTCTTGAACCGTTCGCTTACTAGCATTGATATAGTGTCATTCCATTGTAACCCATTTCAGGTGCCTCAATGTGAAGCGACCCAACACCATCCGACGGAATAATGACTCGTTTCTAATTTTGAACAATTATGCCACTTTTCTTCGGAGGAAGTAGGAAAAGGAACAACAAACTACATAGATACGGAACACATCCGATTAGTCGGCTGTCCACCATCGGGGAACTCACTCATTTCCACCATCAGAAAAAAGGAGGACACAAAGCTGGATAACACGAGGAACCCCTGCATAAGCCACATGCTTCCAACAAGCGAGAAAGAAAGCTGATGCCTAACGGTGGCAATGGCCCGTGTGTTCTTCAAAACAAGGCGATCGATAGGTGCCACTATGTCGGGTCTGGGGGGAAACTTGGCCCAACGCGTTTGCGCGAACAGTTCCGACACTATGGTTCAACATCATCCCTTGCATAATCATCATGTTAGTTTCAACGTTGGTCTGGAATTATCCATTCAAACTTTCTGAGTCTTGCAGGAGAATCGTTTTGTGAATATTCACATGGCATAGTAAAGTAAGTATATCTACGACTGGAAAGTTGGCTATGAGCAATTCAGGTCAATGTATCCTAAACACACCAGCGGAAGTGTTTAATCGGGTGCGTAGTGGCTCTCCGGTTTCAAAGCAGAGAGGTGTTTATTGGCTAGCGCGGGGCAACAGTCGAATGATAGCGAACAAAAGAACCATAGTTCATGATTTGTTGGATGGGCATTAGGTTTTCTCCATGCCTTGCCACGGAGCATCACTCGGACCACATTGTGGTTGATGTGTCCGGATGATATCGGCCAACCCCCCGTAACACGAAACACGAACCCACCGCCGTAAGGTATGAGGTCAAGGCAGCAACTTCAGTTATTGATAGCAAAGGGAAAAAGACATCTAGCTGCCAAGGCAAACTAGAACAGAATGAGGCTTCGTACCAGATAGCTTACCCCCTCCTAACCTTGATGAAGCGACATGTAGCGATATGACCGGGCGAGGACTTGTAGCAAAGAGATGCATGGCAACGCGAAGGGCTTGAAAATACAGTTTGGCTTCGGAAGTAGGGTTATTCGCACTCATGGGCTGAGTTCGCCACCAGACTAGCTGTTATAGATAACCATCCAAGGATGATGATGCAAGCGTCGCTGTCAAATATCAACTCAAACGCTTGAGCTCGACCAACGGAGAATGCACCTAAATTCGTAATTATTCAATTCGAGCCTGGGCCGTAAGACATGAAACCATTCCAATATAAGTAGTTGCATGCGGTGTTGGGATACTATCGTGTAGGTCAGCATCATACTTC